ATGCCGAGATTTACGTAATGCCGGGTGATTAGGACACATCGGATCTCGAACGTAGGCTGCTCCACGTGGCGAGACTCGGTAATTGACACCGTTTTCCGCAGATTATTCTTCGGAAAGCGATATCGAGGTAAGGGGTACGCGTTAGACTCGAGGTTTTAGTCAAGAATCTGGAACGAAGGATGTATTATAGTGGCAAAGAAGCCAGGTCGCGAAGCTTACGCTTCGAATTCGTCTTCGTCGTCGCGGATGTTAACCTTTCGCGGTATCTTCCGCGATTTATTATTTCCCTGGCGCTCCGTCGAATTTCACTCGCACAAATGACACGATTATACGCGCGATTTATTATCCACTTTGTCCCGTTATATTTGATAAACAATCCATTATACCGTAACGAATATATCCCCTGGTATAGCATTGTTTGCAACTATTTAAACGAGACCTCATAACGCGCGCTAACTTAATACGGCTATTTAAATTAATTAATCCCGCTAATTCGATTCAACGGACGTGAAATCGATAACGATGCAACGTACACCGGCGCGGTGAAAACCGCGCGGCATAAAAACACATGGACAGTTAGGTGGATCCCACGCGTACGTGATTAAACCAACGAAAAGTTATTGCCGTCGATAATTCCAACGCGTATACGTAATAAATTATTGCGGCGCACGTACAGGAGCAGTAATAAAGACGTTCGGGATAACCGACACACGGAGCTAAATTACAGGTATACATTATCAACCGCGTTTAATCCACGCACAACGAGCAGTGCCGGCGTGTGTCAATCGAATCGTCGACCACCTCGTATTCTCTGGAGCCATGCGTGACCATAACTGACGATCGTGATATTCCCCGCAGGCTAACGTACCGTTCCACAACTACGACCATCGCGGTGCGTTTTGCTTCGATTGCATTCTACTCCTGCGTTTCATCGAAAATTCCATAGGAAATACCACGGGAAACTCCATGGGAAATTCGGTGGGAAAGGTTGCAACTGCAACGTAACGGCCCCGGATCGATAGATGGAATGTAAAATAACCCGGTCGGTAAAGCAACGGCAAAGCAACGGTAAAACAACGGAAAACGGAAGAACGGAAGTATACCGAGTTTCATCGCAGGATATTCGAAAAAAACGTGAACGCGACGCGCAAGAAGCGAGAGGGGTAGTGTCGCAGGATTCGGCGAGCTCTCCCTCGCGTGCCTTTTATTGCCTAGATGCCTAATGCACCTCTATTAAATTCAGATGAATCGCCTAATATATTCAAATTGGCGGGCTCGCGCCCCGGTAAAGCGAGCAGAGAGGCATTCCGATTGAAATCGATGAAATACAAAGGGCAGACGAGGAGGGAAACAGAGGGATGCCGGGGCAAATGGGAGAAGGGAGAAGAGGCGAGGGCGAGGGCGAAGGAAGAGGAAACACGGAAACGAGTGGGCGAGAAAGGAAGAGGGAACACCGGTTACTTTGGCGAAATGAAAATTGAAGTCGAGCAAAATCCCGTCTGGGCGCGTTATCTCGCCCGGAGAAACCAGGGAGGTTTCGTTGCTCGGTGCACCGTTTATCGAACAGTCTTTCATACGGAATTTAATTGTAAAATCGTAATACCGACGGCTGGAAGGTCGATAAGCCTGGTCCGCCAACGAAATTCTCCGCCCCTTGCTCGACCACAGGCTTACGTTCCCGGACTGTCACCGACGGCCAAGACAGGACAAATGCGGTTACAATTACCCCGAATGGCCTAACAACCCCGGTAGA